AAAAGGATACATGTGACGAAGTTTAAGGTTCTGGTCAGAGCTTTGCTAGCTCCTTTCCATCATGAGCGTTTGTTAAAGTTTTCAGAGTATGAGTCAACAAGTAAGGGGATCTGACCCCCAAACATAGGTGTTGGTGATCGAGATCTGTGGTGCGTGATGACGTTTCGCAGTCTTCTTCGTTTCCCGCAGTGCTGCCGCAAGATGAGAGAAAGGAAATTACGACTGTAGTAACATGTGATATCAACCAAGATGCTATATAAGGGGATTGTTGAGCGGTTCACATGTAGCTCTAAACATGCAACTGCGAGCCCTCATTTCGGTTTTAGTGCTTATTCTCGGATTAGGTTTGTTATCCGCAATTTTGACAATATCTGCGTTATATGTATGTAATCATGTCTTTCAGTTATTGTGGGCCAAGCTAAGCCTCAATTTGGACGTGGGTTTGGCCATGGTCAGAATCACGGAGGCGGCCACGGAGGGTAAGAGTTTACCGAGAATCAAGTTGCAATTGCATAGAGTGGTATTTCGTCGTGCTAGACTTTTTTCCGCTAGACCGAGTATTGAGATTAGTCGTACTTCCTTCCTTTCAAATCTTAAATTTCTCATAAAAATTGCAAATTTTGGCTGTGACAGAACGTAATTTTAAAATGTCTTTTTTTGATTCTTGATCGAGTAAAATTGAGGAAGATTTTTGCTTGCTTCTAAATTTTCCATCTTTGAAATAGAGTTCTAGTTCTTTATTATCAAAATGTCACAAAATCTGAATAGATCCTGAATTTTGTAAGGATCAGGTTCTCTGTTTTGTGAGATGAAGTAGGAGGATTTTACGGAAGAGAAGGAAAAGGGAGCAAAGCAAGAAAGGGAGAGGGAGGGGAGTGAAGGAGAAGCACGGAAAGCTTTTAAAGATGGACTGGGCATTGCAGCCATAAGTCTGTTGCAAACCCTTGTCTTTTGAATACTTTGCAAGTTCTATCAAATTCATATAGGGACATGTACAAATATACTTGCATATTTTTATTTTT